ATGCTGAATGGCACATGGCACGGCTGTTTACTGCCAGGGCTGCCAGGGAATCAATAGCGTGCATCACGGCTTACTCTCGGCATGCACCACAGGAGCAGCGCGTGCGAGGGGCATCATGCAGCAGCGCGCCACCACCAGCGCCACCACCGCCGCTCTCGCCGCCATCAGCACGTCGTCGCGCCTCCCCATCGCCGCGGCGCAACGCGGCCCCATCGATGCTCTCCGCGCGCGCTTTCTGCCGTGTGCTCGTGCCGACGCCCGAACACCCCCGCCGGCGAACGTGTCGGACTTGCCCGAACGCCCTGCACGCACGCCTGCCCGAACGCGGCCCTGCACGCGGCACGCCTTGTCCAAACGCGCGTGACCCGTAGCTTCGTTGTTGTTGCGTCCGTTGCGAGTGCGCGTTGCTATGATCAACTGTGACTGCAAGATTCTAAACCTCGTTCACTGATTCAACCGCAAGGCGAGGCGACTGGTAAAGCAAAATACTGGTATTGAGCAAATAATTCTCGTCGTTGCCTTCGTCTCCAACACGCAGTGAAAGGGGAGTGTGAGGAGGGGTGTGGGAGAACAACAAGCCTGGAATAACTCGCGCTGAACCGCACACTATCGTCGGCGTTCTTTGAATCCAAGTCCCGAAGAATTTGAAGACTGGGGCTGACCAGTGTGGTTGGTGGTGTGTATGGTGCAGAGGTTAACGCGTTACAGTGAAACGCCAGACATAGGGTTGTGTCTGCATTTCATAACACTTCAACATGTTTAGTCCATTAGGCCAAATTAGCTATGTGGGTGAAGGCTTTGACGAAAAATGTATTTGCATAATGTGTGAAGAATTAGTAGAGTTACGAAATTCATTATATTGGGGAAAAAAACAAAGCGAGAACGTTGAAAGTAAAATCTGTGACATTCAGTGTTGGGATCAGTAGAAGGACGGAGGAAGTCACGCTTAATGTTATGTTATGTAGTAAACAAACGCAATGGAGCATAAATATCGAACATACAACAATACCATACTTATGATATCATGCTGATACGAAAATTGAAGGTGCATATCTTGTTACGAATATCATTCCCGCGTTGAAATGGGTCACTAACAAGTGATCTCCACGCCCATGGCAGCTTGCCGGGCAGCAAGGGCTCTTCTTGAAAAGAAGTAGCGTGTGGGGGGTCGATTCTTGAGGCGCCTCAGAATGGTCAGTGACAACGCCAACGCCAGCTGCAGCAGCACTGCCAGTGGAAGCAGCTGCAGCAGCAGCAGGTTTGGAGGTGCCTGGAGAACAGAGAGAGCCTCCTCCACCACTGCAGTGTCTGGTGGTTCACATGGTGGGTTGGTGGATGCAGGGTGGATGAGGAGAGGGAGGGAGGGTGGGAGGAGGCGATGCATGTAAAGAAGCAGCATATTGGTGAAGGAGTGCTGGGTATTGGTGGAGAGCAAGCAGGCATGCGAGCAAGGAGGCTTTGGAGGACAGGAGGGACACTATGCAGATAGAACGACCTTATCGTGTGATAAAGAACAGAAGAGGAGCACCAGAGGAAAGACAAGAAAGTCAAGATGCAGCTTTGGACGGGCGCATGGTTGAAAAGGAACATACACAAGCTGCGGTGCTGTAAAGGTTCGTCTCCACCGGTAGCATTGAGGGGGAGAGGGCTTTCGGTGGCCGTGAGGTCGCTGAAGCTCCGTGGAAACATGTTGAGACGGCCCATGTGGTCGAACGAGGGCACCTCTCCCGTAAACTGGTTGACCCCAAAGTCGCTGTGGTGCCAAGAAAAGTTGGGAGGGGAAGATTGGGAGGGAAGGGGAGTGGTGGGGAACGAGAGTGATGTGAAAGAGAGAGTGAAGGGAAAGAGGGGGTGATAGGAAAGGAGATGGTTTTTTCTGTCTATGCTGTGTGAGATGGACTTTTGAGCCGTTGATTCCACTTTCCGTGTTGAAATTCTGTCTTTCTGTGTGAAATTTTCCGGCCAAACAGAAAGCAGTGGAAAAAAATAAAACCTTCACTAGGGGCCGTGTAGGCAGCTACCGCGACAAGATGAGGATCGGGATTCGTATGTGTGGTTGAGTAGCTCTGATACCATGCAAGAACTGAAGGTAGAGTCAAAACATTCTTCTAAGTAGCTCAAAGCTCCTAAGCACATTGGAAATTGGCAAGAATAGATGGGTAGGGAATCAGCGGCAATCCCCAATCAGATCGCCTGGAATCTCGAATTGGTGGGTTGGAGATTTCGTTATATCACATCTGGGTAAGGTTGGGATGTTGATGTAATGTAACATTCAACACTGAAAAACTAAAACTACACTGAAACGTAATACAAAAAAGTACAAATACAAAGCTGAGACTCAAGGTTAACTCTAACATCACCCACTCTCTTTATTTCTCGTCCTCTCACTCTCCCACCCTTTTACTCACTGAAGACAAACATTCCTGATCATCCCACAGCACCTTGCATGCCTTCCCCATAACCACTCACAACTCGGACAACTGAATGAGGTTACCGATTGTCCCCGGAATGGAGCCTGAGAAAGCGTTGTCGTTGAGTTTCCTGGGGGAAATATTTTCAGCATGCCCGTGCATGGAGATCATTTGGGGGTTATTATTAGCTAACTATAAATTTGTTTACTCTTACGGTACAATTTTGCGGGCAGCGGGCAGAAGGGAAGGTTCAGGCGACATAAGGATGGGCGCACAGGATGTGAAGTTCGGTGAGGTGGCCAACGAAGGCGGGAATGGTGCCACTCAGGCTGTTGTCCTGTAGGTCCCTGCCATGGCATGTGATGGGATGGGATGGGATGGGATGGGATAGAATGGGATGGGATGGAATGGGATGGGATTGGATGGGATGGGATGGGATGGGATGGGATGGGATGGGATGGGATGGGATGGGATGGGATGGGATGGGATGGGATGGGATGGGATAAGACCGTCGGAAATCGACGGTTAGAAGATTGGCGTGAAAACATTCCGGCCAAACAAAAAGCAGTGGCTGGCAAAAAGAAGTCGAAAACCTTCACTAGGAACCGTGTAGGCAGCTACCGCAATAAGATGAGGATCAGGATGCGCATGTGTGGTTGAGTAGCTCTGATACCATGTAAGAACTGAAGGTAGAGTCAAAACATTCATGTAATGAGCTTAAAGCTCTTAACCCCATCGGAAATTAGCAAGAATGGATGGGTAAGGAACCAGAGGCAATCCCCAATAAGATCGCCTCGAATCCCGAATTGGTCGGTTGGAGATTTTGTTATATCAACTACACTGAAATAGAATATAAAAGGGTACAAATACAAAGCTGAGACTCAAGGTTAACTCTAACATCACCCACTCTCTTTATCTCTCGTCCTCTCACTCTCCCACCCTTTTACTCACTGAAGACAAACGTGCCTGATCCCTTCCCCATAACCCTGCATCCCTTCCCCATAACCCTGCATCCCTTCCCCATAACCACTCACAACTCGGACAACTGAATGAGGTTGCTGATTGTCCCCGGAATGGAGCCTGAGAAAGCGTTGTCGTTGAGTTTCCTGAGGGGAATATTTTCAGCATGCCCGTGCATGGAGATCATTTGGGGGTTATTATCAGCTGACTAGAATTTGTTTTACTCTTACAGTACAATTTTGCTGACAGCGGGCAGAAGGGAAGGTTCAGGCGACGTAAGGATGGGCGCACAGGGTGAGAAGTGCGGTGAGGTTGCCAATGAAGGCGGGAATGGTGCCACTCAGGCTGTTGTCCTGTAGGTCCCTGGCGTGGAATGGATAGGATGGGATGGGATGGGACGGGATAAGATGGGATAAGATGGGGTGGCACAAACAAGCTAGAGCATGAGCTGCAGCATGTGCAGTATGCTTTTGAGTCGACTCAAGAGCAGTGGCTCACCATGAAAAGAAATTACTGGATATTTCGAAACAAGGATCAAGAAACTGGTGCTGGAATCCGAATCACTCACTCATTGTCGGATGAAGAGACTCCACGCACACAGATCGCCTTGGCTACTAGCCCATATGGACGCCCAGCCCATATGGACGCCCAGCCCATATGGACGCCCAGCCCATATGGACGCCCAGCCCATATGGACGCCCAGCCCATATGGACGCCCAGCCCATATGGACGCCCAGCCCATATGGACGCCCAGCCCATATGGACGCCCAGCCTATATGGACGCTTATCCCCTCCGCTCCGCTCCCCTCACCCCCCATCCCCCCCCCCCCCTCTCTCTCTTTTTATTTTTTTTGCTTGTCGTGGGTTGGGTGCTAGACTAATATCCTGACGTGACCCAAACGCGACCAAACCCTATACTCTGAAATCTCCAACCCACTACAGGAGGTTTCAACAGGTCTCATCTCATTGCACATTGTCATCGACTTCCCTTCCCTGCCCATCCTTCGGAACTCATTCGCGATCTAATCAGGATCACCTCCAGCTCCAAAACCTACTTCACGATTCCAACCAACCTGGTAAACCTAATCCATCTATCTCAAGCTCCGTTCAGCGAGTTCCACCCATCCTCAGCCTCCTACTTTTTCCACCCGTTTACCCCCTCAGCAGGGACCAGGGTGCTATCACATTGAATCCCTCCACTCCACTCCAATCCAATCCACTCCACTCCACTCCACTCCACTCCACTCCACTCCACTCCAATCCAATCCACTCCACTCCACTCCACTCCAATCCAATCCACTCCACTCCACTCCACTCCAATCCACTCCACTCCACTCCACTCCAATCCACTCCAATCCACTCCACTCCACTCCACTCCACTCCACTCCAATCCAATCCACTCCACTCCACTCCACTCCACTCCAATCCAATCCACTCCACTCCACTCCACTCCACTCCACTCCACTCTACTCCACTCCACTCCACTCCACTCCACTCCACTCCACTCCAATCCACTCCACTCCACTCCACTCCACTCCACTCCACTCCACAGCACCTTGCATGCCTACCCCATCACTACTCACAACTCTCGCAGTTGCTTGAAGCTGCTGATTGCCTCTGGAATGGAGCTTGAGAGACCGCATTTGCGAAGATTCCTGGAGCGTGGAGAAATTGGGGGAGGGCGGAAAGGAAAAGGGTGGGGAGCAGGATCGATTTTATCAAAGTGTCAGTTCAGAAAATTAAATCTCAAGCTTAGAGTAACATGAAAAAAAAACATTTTCATCTACTTATAGAGGGGAAGAGTAGGCATTGGAGGTGAAAGGCAGGGTGCAAAATTATGACTAAGACGCAGGGAGGGATTGGAAGGTGGAAAGCCGAAGTGGAGGATGCATGGGGGCAGAGCAGTGCAAAGCCCCATTTGCTTCGGCAGACTATGCTGATATGAGAGAGAAGGGAAGGTTAGTGACGGAGGAGAATGGGCGCACAATACGGTGAGTCCGGTGAGGTTGCCGAGGCACGCGGGAATGGTGCCACTCAGGCTGCGGCTGCCTTGAAAATCCCTGACGCGTGATGGCGTGGCATGGGATGGCACGTGATGGCATGGGATGGCACGTGATGGCACGGAATAAGAGCGAAGCTCCTAGAGGATGTGTGAGAGCGCATGCGGGTGCTGCTGGTCTAGGGTTCCTAGACTAGAGTACTTAGAGCACTGGGGTACTAGACTCAAGAGAAATTGCCATGGCTCAGGAGAAGTCTCAGAGGCAAAATATCAAAAAGTTACACAAACACAAGTGAAGATCCAGAAGGGACAAGGGTGTGAAAGAAAAACTGAGAGAAAAAGGAGATCTGAAAACTCCGTGTGTTAACATCTTTTGAGCTAGCAGACGTGTTGGAAAAATGAAATTCATTTGTGCAACCGAGAAGAATGTGTGCCATCACTTCTAAATCCGGTTTTTGGAGGCATAAGAGACGTTGTCTCTCCTCCCCAAGACTAATGGCTTGCAATGCTTTCCAGTCCGGTTGACCCGGTATGGTGACTTGGGGCAAGAATGGCTCACAGGATTCATATTGCACTATTAGAGCAACTTGATTTGAAACAATCCATGGCAGCAACTCAGCAACTCAGCACACATGACCGATCAAGTTAACGTCAGCTAGATTGGAGCACCACCTTCATCCCACGGGGCGGGGGAGGGACCTCGTGGAAAGCAATGCGGGTATTCCTCTGCCTTACAGATCTTCCAGGTTGGTGAGCGCTCCTATTGACTCGGGGATGGACCCTGACAGCGTTGGCTCCGTGATGCGTCTGCGATCATGTGCGGCACAGTGCGGTGACGTGTGGCACAGAGAGATCCAGTGGGGTTACAGTGTTTTCTTTGGAGCAGCATAAAGGCGAGGAGACAAAGGGGGATGAAGCACAGAGAGGAGTGGCGGAGGGGAGCGGTGGAGGTTGGGTGTGGGAAGGTTGATAAAGCATGGCAGTGCCTCACATGCACCTGCAGACTGCAGTGCATGTGTCTGCAATGCATGTGTCTGCAGTGCATGTGTCTGCAACGCATGTGTCTGCAGTGCATGTGTCTGCAATGATTCGTGCATTCTTGCTGATGGGAGCCCATTGCCTCACTCATCCTGCAGCACTCTCTCACTCTCATTTTCTCAATTACTCACTCTCAGACATTCACTCACTCATTCACACAAACACTCACTGATCTACCACACCAGATCATCCCACAGCACCTTGCATGCCTACCCCATCACCACTCACAACTCCCGCAGCTGCTTGAGGCTGCTGATTGCCTCTGGAATGGAGCCTGAAAAGTTGTTGCGCCGGATGTCCCTGGTGCATGGAGAGAGTTGGGCGGAAACAGGAGGGGGGAAGGGCAGAGAGGAGAGGGGATTCGTGGGAGAGGAAAGGCTGGAAGGGAAGGTACAGGGAAGAGGGGTAAAATGAAAACGGTCATAAGGGTACGATGTGCATGGGAAATGATGTAGGGTGGTGAATGGTGCATGGGAAATGATGTAGGGTGGTGAATGGTGCATGGCAGATGTTGCATGGCAGATGGTGCATGGCAGATGGTGCATGGCAGATGGTGCATGGCAGATGGTGCATGGCAGATGGTGCATGGCAGATGGTGCATGGCAGATGGTGCATGGCAGCACGCACAGTGAAGTCAAGTCTGTGAGGCTGAAGATCCACGCAGGCAGCTCCCCAGACAGTTGATCATGATGCGACACGTGCCTGATGATGCGCGTAGTTGAGGGAGAAGGAGCAGTGAAGAGGCAAGGAGCAGGGAAGTTGGTGGGAAGGGCGATGTCGAACCCGAGGATGGGCAAGGTGCAAATGAAGAGCGAGGAGAACAAGAGAAGCGAGGGAGCATGGCACAAGGAGGCAGCACGGGAAAAGGAGGCCGCACGGGAAAAGGAGGCCGCACGGGAAAAGGAGGCCGCACGGGAAAAGGAGGCCGCACGGGAAAAGGAGGCCGCACGGGAAAAGGAGGCCGCACGGGAAAAGGAGGCAGCAAGGCAAATAAACGGAGGATGGCTGGCTTAGAGCATCCGGGTTCCATCACATGCCACAATATGCCATCACATGCCACAATATGCCATCACATGCCATCACATGCCCCTCACCCGGCCTTACAGAGACTGCAGCTTCTGCAGCTGGGAGAGCTGCTCCGGTAGTGACTCCAGTAGATGGTTGCCGAACAAATGCCTGCTTGCACCACGCATGCACCGAGCAGGTGGAGTGTTTAGCATCATCGGAGGATGGTGCAGAAGAGAGAAGAAGGTTGACCAGCGGCTGAAGGAAAGAAACGAGTGGCAGGAGATGGACTGGAGTGGGGAGCAGTAGTCGATGCAGTTGGGAGCAAAGAGATCATGGCGACGGGGTGTGAGGGGCCAGATGGGGTGTGAGGGGCCAGATGGGGTGTGAGGGGACAGCTGGGGTGTGAGGGGCCAGATGGGGTGTGAGGGGCCAGCTGGGGTGTGAGGGGCCAGATGGGGTGTGAGGGGCTAGATGGACATGGGGAGTCGACACGAATCTCCGGTGGAGGAACAACGCTGTAAGCCTCATCTTGCTCCACCACCTGCACTCATTCTCTCTCTTCAATCATTCACTTACCCACTCACCCCCTCACCCACCCTCTCACCCTGCAATTCGCACCACCCACCCACCCACTCACTCCCCTCCCACCTGCTACTACTTCCCCCCCCCCCCCTCCCCCCAAGCGCACTGACAGGCGGGTGAGCTGTTGCAGATTGCCCAGCTCTTGCGGAACGGAAGCTTTGAGATTGCCGTGAGAGGCGGTGCTGCTGCATTGATGGGGCGTGGCAGGCAGGCATGGGGGAGAGGGCAGAAAGAGAAGACGGCAGGGAGGGGCAATGGCAGGGAGGGAGACGGCAGGCAGGGGAAATTACAGGGAGGGGAGATGGCAGGGGGGGGAGTAAGGGGGGAAGAGGCGATTGGGGACAGAGGGCAGCAGAGCAGAGCAGCTGAAGCAATGGGGGATAGGAGAGGAGTGTCAGTGGAGCAGTAGAGGGGAGAGAAGAGAGAGCAGGAGGGGGCACGCAGGCAGCAGGTGTGGGGCTGCTGCTGTTGTGAAATAGGCAATGGATCTGATTCACTTGATAAGGGGGGTGGCAGTAGGCATGCGGTTGGATGTGCACGCGAGAAGAGAGAGGTGCATTCGAGAAGAGAGAGGTGCATTCGAGAAGAGAGAGGTGCATGGGAGGCAATATTGTACTGACAGGCCCATGGGAGAAGGATTTTTCCCTGGGAGATCCGGGAGCGAGCGAGGGAGTTGATTGCAAAACTCGAAATCACTGCAGGCAGGCAGCACGCACAAATATGGTGTAGAGGCAGTAGAAACATGGGTGGGTGGATGGCGATAACAGGGGTGAGAGGAATGGATGGACATAGGGGTAGGAGAATCATAATAAAATGGATGGAAACAGGAGGAGACGCACACGAGAGGGTGATGTGGGCGAGACAATCTAATAGAATAGAAGAGAAGGCAGGCAAGACAGAGCAAGCCATGTTTAGCCAATCGAACGCAAGTCAGTGACATGCAAGTCAGACACATGCAAGTCAGTACAAGCAAAGACAAGTCAGTGGGGGGAAGTGGGGCATGGAACGAACGAGGGCCATGGGGAAGGGAGAGTGAAACAGAAGGAGTCTCACAGATCCTTGAGATGGGACAATGCGAGGAGAGCCGTGGGCAGGGGGGGGACAAGGCTGCACCCTCTGATGTTGCTGTGGGAGGAGAGGGATGAAATGCAGGGATGGAGAATAAATTTGAAACAAATAATGATTTCACACATGCGAAGGCAATAGAAAGAGGCAAGGGGACAATGCAGTGTGCACAGTGCAATGACATGCTTACAGTGCAATGACATGCTTACAGTGCAATGACATGCTTACAGTGCAATGACATGCTTACAGTGCAATGACATGCTTACAGTGCAATGACATGCCCATCGCCATCACACTCCACGGATTCCATGCTGTCGCAATCCCTGCCCCTCTTCCACGTCCTCGTATCAACTAAATCGTTCCATTCATGTGCCAGACTCTCCAAAGCATCCACTGCCATCAATACATGCCATGATGTCATTAATCCAATCCCGGCATACAATCCCGGCAGCATTGCAGGATGCCATGCCACAGAACGTTGAGGACATTCCCACAAAAAGGGAGAGGCGAGAGGAACAGGGATAGGGGAAACGGATGATTGAGGAGGGACAGCTACAGCCAGCAGTGATGGTTAGCTGCCGATACAGACCTCTTGTTGCATTCTCAATAGGGTTACGGTCCTGGGGCGGTATGGCACATGGCATGGCAGCTTACACGGGACATCCGGCTGTCAAAAGGAGGATGTGGGGGGAATAAATAGCGTGCAGCACGGCTTACTGTCAGCGTCCACCACGGGAGCAGCGCGTGCGAGGGGCATGCAGCAGCGCGCCACCACCAGCGCCACCACCGCCGCTCTCGCCACCATCATGACGTCGCCGCGCTTCCCCATCGCTGCGCCACACACCCTATGATAGTCGCCTGCACTGCAGTCGTCACTTGTGACCTCGTCGCCCGTGACCTTGTTACACGTAACACGACGTTTCTTAAACGCGGCTCTGCGCGCTCGTTGCCTGTGCGCGTTGCTCGTTTTTTATCTCTGTTGCTGGGAACTGTAGTTAGTAGTAGTACGCGGAATTCCAGTTTCGTGCATCTAGCTAGTAATGCTCGTTTCGACTTGGTCTTTGCAGGTACTCTCACGAAGCGTCGGCGCAAGTTTAGTGCACTATGATGGATGGAGAGATGACGCCGCAAGCATTACCGTACTAGCATGTGCCGCGCTGCGTGAAATGGACAGTATGGGGAAAGGTTGGAAGGCATTAGTGATGTGGTGGTTGGTTGGATGAATCAACTCGGTTTAGTGTTAGAGCTCGACACGCCAATGGCTTCGCCTCCCTCCAAATGGCGCCGTTCTTCAACCTACGGAAAAGCCTGAAACAGATTCAGTATCGCTCTGCACCGCACAACGGCGTCGGTGTGCTTTGATTGAGAAGGCTATGAAAGAATTCTACGACTTGGGCTGACCAGTGGTTGGTTGGGAGGGGAGGGAAGGCGAAGATTTGGTACCATGAACACCGCGTTACCAAAAATTGAGAAATGAAACTGGGGTAGTGTGATCTCAACTCCAACTAGGAAAGCTTCTCAATTGGCCGCAATCACCACACTATCACACTTATCACATCAGTGCGGCCCAACACATGCCCTTCCCCCATTGGACAAATTCTCGTTCTCTAGGTAAAGGCCCAACAACTGCCTAGAAAGATAATAGCTTTCTGCACACCCCACCACCTTCAGCGTCTGCAGGTTTGGCATCCGTCCAATTCCCACAGGTAGGAAGGCTATGCCCTTGCAATCCTCAATCACAAGACTCTTTAGCGATGAAAGAGCGCTGAACGAGTCTGGGAGAGACTGAAGACTGGAACACCGGCAAATGGTGAGTTCCCGAAGGCGTGGAAGCATGACCATGCTGGATGGGAGACGATCCAAAAGGCTGCATCTGCTGATTGTGATGCATTCAAGGGAACGGATTCTGCCAAGTGATGATGGTAGCTCCAGTAGTGTCGGGCAGTCTGAAATTTTCAACTCTTGCAGTGCTTCCAGCTGCCCGAACGAGTCCGGAAGACGCGCGACTTTCGCCACACTGCAGAGTTCAAAGATTTTTAGGCAGGACAGATGCCCGAAATTTTCGGGCAGGGACAGCAGGGTCGGGCAGCCAGTGATCGAAAGGTTGGTGAGGGAGGGGAGCAGGGGGAAGGAATCTGGGAGGCGGGAAAGCTCCTCACAGGCATTCAGCTCGAGCGTTTGCAGCGCAGGCAGGAATCCAAAATCGTCCGGGAGGGCTGACAAGGAGCACTGGCTTATCTCGATTGTTGTAAGCGTGTGGAGGGATGGAAGAGACGCAGGGAGGGAGTGGAGTGTGGTGCAGATGGTGAGGGCGAGGTGGGAGAGAGAGGTGGAGAGGGAGGAGTGGCCGAGTGATGCTGGGAGGAGAGAGAGTGCGGGGAGGATGAGATCGAGAGAAGTGAGGGAGAGGAGGGAGATGGAATCAGGGAGGAGGACCAGGCTACTGCTGCTCACGCCCAGATGGCTGAGTTTTGACAGCTGCCCGATACACTCGGGCAGCGAAACGAGAGAGTCGCAATCGACAAGCTCAAAAGATTCTAGGTCACGCAATCTGCCCAGGGTTGGAGGAAGGAATTGAAGGAGGGGAGTGTGGAGATTGAGGTGAGTGAGGGAGGAGAGGAGGCCAAAGGCAGGCGGTAGTTCCCGAAGATGATCCATGGATAGATGGAGAGTCTTCAGCTGCTGCAGATGCAGTAAGGGTGACGGGAGAGAGGTGACCCCAGCAGCTGTACCGTGCAAACGGAGCTGCTGCAAGCGCTTACACGTGGAGAAAAGGGCTTCGAGACCCAGTGAGGAGTGAGAGAGAGAGGACCCGTGTCCTCCGGCCGTGAGGGAGAGAGACGATAACTGCGGACATGCCTTAGCGAGCCCTGCAAGAAAAGCGTCGGTGATCGAATCCACGCTGCGGTTGGACAGATCGAGGGACGAGAGGTTCGGCATGCGCGATACTGCGCGAATCAGCTGCGCGCCGGAGATTCCCCGCCGCCGTGCCACGTGGACTGCACACTGCGAAACGCGCGCTAGCCGGAGCCATCGCGAGCAGACGAAGGCGTGCGAGAAGGAGACGCTAGAGGCAAGTCGCTGGAAGATTATAATGACGAGATCGTCAGTGAGAGTGTCAAATGGAGTCGTGTCAGTCGGAGTTGGAGATGGCTCCATCATGGCGATGGCGTCAGATTAACTTCGGAAGGGACAGCTGCGATAAGACCTGATCAAGGCTAGGCGACTCGAGGATCCATGAAGTACGAATGGAAGTCGATCGAGGTTCACTTTGCACGCACCAAGTGAGACGTGACATTTTCATATTTGGTCGTCGGAGGTGCAATGCCAAACCGAACCTCGTCCAATTGAATGGCGGGTGGATGCACGATGAAATTGGGATTGCATGCGCGCTAGGGTTTCCGTCCCCGTGCGTCGGGTGAGTCAATACGAGCCCCAACAATCCCGTCGCTGTGCGACGGATTGGTCAATACGTACCCAAAACCTGGTCGACTGCCAGGGTTGCCTGTTTTTGCACTAACGTGCGCCAGGCCTGATCGGGTTTCCGCATGTTACCCTTGCGACGCGTGCGAAGACCAAAAGTTCGACTCTCTGTTGTTGGGGACTACAAAGTTCCGTACTCGAACTGAACTCTTGGAAGAGCCTTGACTATTGCAGGTTTGTGTATGACACGGTCTGACCACCATGGCGACGGAATCTCCTCACAAAAAGTCGGAGAGGAACCCGAACTAGATTAGGCTGTCCTTGAGCAATCGAACTTGCTGGTTCAAATCAAACTTGGGGTCCGCCATCATCTGGTTGATCAATTTTCGCTAAACATGTGACTCACAATGGTCAATTTTCGCTAAACATTCTCCCGTTAAAATCACACTCCTTCTTGCCCCCACCAACCTCTGCCTCGCTGTCACAGGTGCCCCCTCCTCCCGCCCACACCCCCCTCTCATCAACACCATTCCCCGTCCCGTCCCGTCCGTTCCGTCCCGTCCCGTCTTGTTCCGACCTCCCTTGCTGTCGCTCATGTCGCAGAATGACCGCCAAGGTCGCATGGGTTGAAGTCAATAGCTTCGCACAGCCACCCATCCACTTCGCAACTGCCATTGACCAATCAATTTCCTTGCCCAGCTGTGCTCCAAGTTTTTCACGGATATTGGCCACACAATCTCAACTGCTCCTTACACTGCAAAGCAGCAGTACCAAATCATTCATTGTCATACTGGTCGCAGACAACTTTGACATTCTCTCCAGTCGTCGTCCAACCGCGTCATTCCATCCCACAGCACCTTCGATTGAAGAACCTCCAAAGAGCACAAGAGAAGGACAGCGCCTCAAAACCTCCCAGAACTCCGAACAAGACCCGACAGGACGGGAGTCACCTGAAAGAAAGACTTTCAGCAGCACGCGAGCCTCCCCCTCCCCGCGCTTCCCCCCTCGCCTTCGCCCCGTCCCGACCCGTGCCGACTCCCTCGGGTGTTGTTTGTTGCGCTTCCTTGCATATCACCACCACACAAGCAACCAACTTCCCCTCACCAGGGAGGAAGGGAAGGGAAGCAAGCAGCAAACAGGGCAGTGAAAGCTATTTGTTGCATGTACGTTGTACATGCACATCATTCCGCTCCCCTTGCTCCACTCCTCGCGGAACAGATCACTCCCTCCCCCTCTACTGCTGCTGAGAGACTCGAAGCCTTCTTTCCATTTATGTTTGCTCGCGGTCGTCGGAATTCTTGATACTATCCTGCTTCGACCGTAGGATCGCGTCACACATTCTTTCCTTCTTTCTGCCGTGGGTGGCTCTCGCGAACCACTCCAACACTGCCGTGGCGCTGGGACTCTCGGAGGAGTACAGTATTTGAGTGTCTCGGTGTATTTATTCCGTGAACTTCTGGGCCACAGCGGCTCCTCAGCGGCTCCTCAGAACTCCCTTGTCGCCTCACTTATCTACTCACTTTCCTCACTCGTCGAACCGCGCCCTTCCTGCACGTGATATTCACGAATTCCGGGCTTTCTCCTGAAGCTATTCGGTTTCTGCTTAGCTTCATTCTTATCACCCACACGGCTCCCAGCCAAAGCATGTCGATGGCGGACGTCGAATCGGCGTCCATCCCCGCGGAATCCTCTCTGCCCGCCACGTGGCAAGACAGCTCCAGCTCGTCTTTCCCTCGCGACTCCGTCCCGCTCGCGAAATTCGCGTCCGAACCGTCTGCGCGAACGACGGGCGACGACGACGAACCCAACGACGACGACGGCGACGAGGCCGCAATGATCGCCGCCTTGGCGGCGGAGTCGTCGCCGTCGCAGATCTCGCGATCGACGACGTCGGGGTCGGGCGGGTCGTCGCGGTCGCACAGATCGCTAGACGAAGCGGGCGATCAATTGTCAGTGGAGGGGCATGAAGCGGACATGGAGAAGATGCGCGCCGCGATAACAGCCGCGGGAATCCCGCTAGAGGTAGACCTGGTGAAGGAATCACCTTGACACCTGCGCTTGGTTTCAAGACAATTGCAACAACACCTGGTTTCGCTGCCGTTGCGGTGCCTCCACTGGCGCTTGCGCCTTAACTGCGCGGAAGCGTTGGCTTCCGCCACGCGCTTCAGCGCGCGGCGCGGGGACGCGCAAGCCGCAGCAGCCGCTCGCGGCTGACCTCTACGCTGTCTGGTTGTCTGCCAGATCGTAGCAATCCGCTCGCAAATCGTCCCCCAGATCCGTGCCTTCCCCCACTCCCCTCCCCCTGCATCCCCCTCCTCCGTCTTCCCGCTTCATCGCTCTCAATTTCCTTCTCTCTCAGTTTGGCGTCCCTACTTTCGGGCTGTTACGCTCCTCCTCTTCTCATCCACCGTCCCTATCCAACCCCCGCTCTCTCTCCCGGTTCCTTCCCCCTCTTCCTCCCCGCCCGCTGCCCCTTCCTTCCTCTCTCCCCGCTTGTGCCCCCCTTGGCCCCCACTCCCCGCCCCTCTGCCCGCAACCCCCCCCTTCTCTACTCCCTCCCCCTGCGTCCCCCTCTCCACCCCTCCCTCCCCCCTTTCCCCCGCTCCCTCCGCCCTTCCCCTCCCCCTCCCCCACCTTCCGCCGTCCCCCAGGGCGTGTCGGAGCTCACGCTCCTGCGCTTCCTCGTGGCGCGCAGCTTCAACATCGACCGCGCCTCGACTATGTACGTGGAGCACCGCAAGTGGCGCGCCTCCTTCATTCCGCCGGGCTTCTACCCCGCGCGCGCGGGCGACCCCGAGCCGCAGTTCTCGCCCGCGCTCATGGCGCCCGTGTCGCTGCAGTGCGCGGACGGCGAGCGCTCGTGGGTGATCTGCCGCCTGCGATACCACGACGCGTACCAGCGGAAACTGGACGCGCTTCTCAGTGCGTGCTGCGGAACGGACGGGGGGGAAGGGGAGAGTGGTGGGGGAAAGGGGAGACGAGGGGGGAGGAGTTGTGGGGGAGGGGGGTTGGGGGGAAGAGGATTTTTTTGGGGGGAAGGGGAAGGGGGCGGTGGTTTGATATTTGCGGGTGGAATTGGGGGAAGGGGGGATGATCAGGGAGCGGGGATGGGCGCACGCGCGTGGGAAAGGAAAGCCATGGACTGAACGCGCAATTTAGGTTTTCTTCTTGCAGGAAACTTGGGGCAGAGGTTGGGGGGGGGGGGGAGGGGGGGAGGGGAGGGGAGGGGAGGGAAGTGAGGGGAGCAGAAGTGAGGAAGGCAAATTTTGAGACGTTTCAAGAATCGGAGGCGAGGTAGAGCGGATATGGAGTGCCAGGGTGATATCTTGGTGGAGGGGAAGAAAAGGGAAGGTGGGAGGACGTTGGGATGGGGAGTGAGTGAGCCTGGGGAAAGGCGAGATCTGTCCAGGAACCCGCCCCCATGGCATAGAGTAGTAATCTGATACGTCATCTCGCTTCGCTTTATAGCCTTACTCCCCTCTTTGCCTGCTTGCCTTTTTGTTCGATTGTCTGCTCCCACCCTCACACCCCCACCCCCCTCCGCCTTTTAACCTTGTCCGCTTTCCCCTCCTTCCCCCACCTTCCCCTTTCCCATCCCCCGCTCCCCCATCCCGACCCACTCCCCTTCTTCCCTCTTACTCCGCGCCTCCTCTCCCCTTCAATCCCCTCCTCCCCTTTCCTCTCCCCACCCTGCGCGAACACCATCTCAACTGAACCTTACCTCCCTTCTCCTCCTTCTCCCCCTTCTGCTTCCGCCCCCCCTCCCTCCCGTTCCCCCCACCTTCCCCCCACCCCTCCCCTCCTCGTCTCCCCGGTTGCAGAGTCGGTCGTATACACCATGGATAAAGCAATCGCCAGGTAATAATAGTCATAGGGAAAAGCGCCAGGGCAAGCGCAGGTAGGCGCACAGGAGAGGAGGTAGGCGTTGCATCAGCTTGGGGACTGTCTTTTCTCCTTTGATGTTGCCACCTGCCACCCACCTGCCACCCACCTGCCACCCACCTGCCACCCACCTGCCACCCACCTGGCAGCAGGCAGTGCAGCACAGACAAGAAATGTAACGCAACGCATAGTCCATCCATCCATCCCATGCATCTTCCTGGTTGCACACCGCGTACAGCATTCATCCACCCCACCCCACCTCTTCCCACCTCGTCCCGCCATGCCATGCCCATGCCCATGCCCATGCCCATCCCATCCCGACCCCTGCGTTCCGCAGGCCCCGCCCGACCTGCACAAGTTCGGGGTGATACTCCACCTGCAGGGCGAGCCTGAGGGCATTTCGTACCTTCGAATCGCATCACCTACTTGCCACCCCTTCCCTACTCCCTGCCCCCCTACCCTCTACACCCCTACCCTCTGCCCCCATACTGCCCCGCTACCCTCTCCACCAGCCTGCCCCCCGACCTGCACAAGTTCGGCGTGATATTCGACCTGCAGTGCGTGGCATACAAGAACCTCGACTCCAGAGGAGGCATCGCCTCACTCATCCTGCTGCAGGTCTGCACACCAAACCACGCCACACCACACCACACCACACCACACCACACCACGCCACGCCACGCCACGCCACGCCACGCCACGCCACGCCACGCCACGCCATCTCATCCATGCTGTCTCCTCGCCCCACCTATTTGCCTCACCTCTCCTCGACCTCATGCCTGAGTGTATCATCCTTGTGGGCAGTAGTATTTCCTGACCATGCATGCACTTAGATGCAAAGCAAACTCCATCCTACTCTGCCCTCATATCTATATTTATCCCCACCATCACATCGCCTCCCTTTTCTCAATCTTCAATCCCCTCACTGCCTCTCCTCTCCTTTACCACCTTCTCCCCCTTTGCCCCATCGTTTCTCGTTTTTTCCCCAATTTTCCCGCTTTTTCCCCTTCCGTTCCCCCTCCCTCCCTACTCCCCCACCTTTCCCCCCCATTCATGCGCTCATCCCCCCACCTCTTCCCTCAACGCTCAACGCACCGCACTGCCCATTGCTATCCCCCCGCCCTCCTCCGTGCAACCTCTGCTCCTCTCTTCCTCACTGGCGTTGCACCCATCACCCACCATACGTGCATCCCCCCACCCGCAGAACCAGTTCCCCGAGCGCCTGGCGAAGCTCTACTTCATCCACGTGCCCTCCATCTTCTGGGGCGTGTGGACCTTTGAGTCGACTCTAAAGTCTCTCCGGTACACCTATCCCCCCCCCCTTCCCCTCCTTCCCCCATGCGTGCATCCCCCCACCCGCAGAACCAGTTCCCCGAGCGCCTGGCGAAGCTCTACTTCATCCACGTGCCGTCCATCTTCTGGGGCGTGTGGAAGATCGTCTGCCCCTTCATCGACCCCTACACCAAGAAGAAGGTCAACCTGCTGCCCCTCACACTACCTCTGCCCCTCACACTACCTCTGCCCCTCACACTACCTCTGCCCCTCACACTACCTCTGCCCCTCACACTACCTCTGCCCCTCACACTACCTCTGCCCCTCACACTACCTCTGCCCCTCACACTATCTACCTCTGCCCCTCACACTATCTACCTCTGCCCCTCACACTATCTACCTCTGCCCCTCACACTATCTACCTCTGCTGCTCACAGCCGCTTTCGCATGAGCCTGGCTTGCTTGGAATGCTCGCTCCTGCTCTGTCTCTCTCGCGCACACACTCTCCCCTTTTCCCGCTACACCCCCTCCCCCCCCACGCTCGCCCTCCCCTCTTCCTCTTCACCAACCCCACCTTTTTGTGTCTCGTGGTCTGGTCATGTCCTCGCAGGCAGGGTCCTCCTCGCTCCCTCCCTCCACCGCTCTGTCAGCCACTCTTCCTTCTCCCTCTCTATTCTCGTCTGCGCCTCGTGCGCTCTCATCAATCCCATCCTCCCCTTCCTCCTTTCTCAGCTTACGTCCTTCCACTCTCTTCCCGCCTTTCCCCCCCACACCCTCCACTCCACTCCACTCCACTCCACCCCCAACTCCCGCCCCTCCCCACCTCCCTCCGTACCATCCTTGCAGAATGTCTTGTGAAGGACTGCAATCTGGGTGTGTTTTGAATCGACTCAAAACACCCCCTCCCTTCCATCCTTGCAGATTGTTCTAGTAGAGAAGTTTCTAGTAGACACAGGCTTTGTGGAAAGCCCACTCCCTCCAACCCTGTCCGCCACCCATCCCCCCACACCCCTCCCCACCCACCCTCTATCCGCAGATCTCTCTTTTGTGAAAGCCCGCAATCCCCCCAAATCAAACTCCTGCTGAGCACCATCTTAGCTCCAATTCTGCAGCTCCTGCTCTGCGTTATAGTTGATTGTAGTTGACTCCAAGCCCCGCCCCCTTCACGCCCTCCGCCGCACCCTTACCCCGCAGACACTCTTTGTGGAGTTGGAGCTCTGCAGTCTAACCTGAGGATTGAGCATTGAGGATTAAAGATTCTTCTGGGAGTCATCCCCTATCATGTGCCTCTCATCCAACTCACAAGCCCCCACCCCTCCCCACCCCTCCCCACCCCTCCCCACCCCTCCCCACCCCTCCCCACCCCTCCCCACCCCCCTCCCCGACAGATCTCGTTTGTGGAGGACCGGCATCTGACAAGGACGCTACTGAGCGCCATCCCCCCTCACGTGCTGCCATCGGAGTATGGCGGGGCAGCAGACTTCGTCCCGCTCACTGATGTGCCCGTCTCCAACTGGCCGCACCCCACTGACTGACTCACTCCACCCACTCCACCCGCTCCACCCACTCCACCCGCTCCACCCGCTCCCTCTCCCTCCTCACTGCTCGCCCCCTGCTCGCCTGCTGCTGATTCTGCTGCTGCTGCCGCTGCCAGTCCTCACCCCTGCCGATTCTCACTGCTGCCCCTCCCGCATTGCTCTTAGTACTCTCTCATTCACTTCACACCTCAATACTCATGCCCAATCCTCGCGGCCAATCCTCCCCCCCACCACTGCTCGTGCCAGTACTGACTCCCTCTCTGCACCGTTTCCTTCCAACCTCCTCTGTCTCTGTGCTCTTACTCTCGTTTTGCATCTTACAAGGCGTTGTTCCGTGCCCTAAAGAATGCGGTACGGTACCCACATACGGTACAGGGCACGCACTAACACAGCTCATCCCTTTTCACTTGAGTATCCTCTACCGGTCATGTCAACCACACACCACATGCCACACCACTGCAACTGCTAGCTGCACTGCACCCGCTTCATACCTCTCACTTGTTTGCGATCCATAGAGTGAAGTGAAAGACCTAATGGGCCTGTAACGAGGCATGCTGTTAGGGGGTGCCTATCTCCAGCTGGGTCTAAATGGATGGGATGGGTTTTAAGTTATACGGTGAGGATTGGCGCAATTGCCATCAACCCGAGGAAACAACAGGCTCTTGTTTTTCTGTGTGCCTTATTTTTGGGGGGGGTATGTGCTGAATATGGCGAAACTGTATATGCATTTAGGGAGGCTGGTGAGTGAGGTAATAAAATGTAATTTCTTCTTGCTTTTACGTATTTAGATATTTGAGCAAGTGTGTGAAGTTATGGATATCACTTACAGCTGGCCGTAACTAATACTGGAGCACAATAAAATCGCATCGACAAGAGCGGTGTACTTTCTTTGTGAATGCGTAAATAGGACAGAGCTTGCTAATCGGGTCGAATTTATCAAGTGGGAGAGAGCCTACTGACGAAGGGCGAGGCTGATAAATCGGTGACGATTCGTCCACTCGCGATGGTCGACGCAGTGGCGGCTGCCGTGCCACGTGTCGTATCGCAATTGAACGATCTGGGGGCGTTCCCGAGCGCCACGTGGGTGAAAGGCGCGCTTCGACACATAGTCGCGACAGACCCGTCGTTTAATCTACCCGTCGATGCAGGAGGAGTAGGAGGTTTAGCGCGCGACGGCAGGGGGCAAGGGGAGGGGGAGAGGGAGGCGTGGCGGGAAGTGGTAACCCGATGCATGGCGTTACTGCTACTAACGGATCTGAGAGCCGTGTCGTCCAATAGCGGCTGCTTGCCCGCTAACGTGCACGCCATGCACGACCAGACGCTGCGAGGAAGCTTCCTTCTCCAGGTGGGGACGGAGCGGGGGAAAGTGGGAACGGGTTAGTGTCTGGGGATTTAGATCACAGTCGCGTCCGCAGTTGGTTTTGCGATCAAGAACGCGCATCTGATTTCCCTGATGTCGTGCCGTGCGTGTCCCCCGTGTGTTGCAATAGACTCCACATAGCCCTGCCCATCACCTTACCTTCCACTCCCCATATCTGACTGCAATAGCCGCCTACCCTCCCCGCCTACCCTCCCCGCCTACCCTCCCCGCCTACCCTCCCCGCCTGCGCTCCCCGCCTGCGCTCCCCGCCTGCCCTCCCCGCCTGCCCTCCCCGCCTGCCCTCCCCGCCTGCCCTCCCCGCCTGCCCTCCCCGCCTGCCCTCCCCGCCTGCCCTCCCCGCCTGCCCTCCCCGCCTGCCCTCCCCGCCTGCGCTCCCCGCCTGCGCTCCCCGCCTGCCCTCCCCGCCTGCCCTCCCCGCCTGCCCTCCCCGCCTGCCCTCCCCGCCTGCCCTCCCCGCCTGCCCTCCCCGCCTGCCCTCCCCGCCTGCCCTCCCCGCCTGCCCTCCCCGCCTGCCCTCCCCGCCTGCCCTCCCCGCCTGCCCTCCCCGCCTGCCCTCCCCGCCTGCCCTCCCCGCCTGCCCTCCCCGCCTGCCCTCCCCGCCTGCCCTCCCCGCCTGCGCTCCCCGCCTGCGCTCCCCGCCTGCCCTCCCCGCCTGCCCTCCCCGCCTGCCCTCCCCGCCTGCCCTCCCCGCCTGCCCTCCCCGCCTGCCCTCCCCGCCTGCCCTCCCCGCCTGCCCTCCCCGCCTGCCCTCCCCGCCTGCCCTCCCCGCCTGCCCTCCCCGCCTGCCCTCCCCGCCTGCCCTCCCCGCCTGCCCTCCCCGCCTGCCCTCCCCGCCTGCCCTCCCCGCCTGCCCTCCCCGCCTGCCCCGCCATGCATGTCCCCCGCAGGTGGACGAGGTGGTGGACATATCCGTGCCCCTCGCCCTTCCTTTCAGTCCCCACAGCTGACTGCCCTGCCCGCCCCGACTGCCCTTCCTGCCGCCCTGACATGCATGTCCCCCGCAGGTGGACGAGGTGGTGGACATATCCGTGCCCCTCGCCCTTCCTTTCAGTCCCCACAGCTGACTGCCCTGCCCGCCCCGACTGCCCTTCCTGCCGCCCTGACATGCATGTCCCCCGCAGGTGGACGAGGTGGTGGACATATCCGTGCCCCTCGCCCTTCCTTTCAGTCCCCACAGCTGACTGCCCTGCCCGCCCCGACTGCCCTTCCTGCCGCCCTGACATGCATGTCCCCCGCAGGTGGACGAGGTGGTGGACATATCCGTGCCCCTCGCCCTTCCTTTCAGTCCCCACAGCTGACTGCCCTGCCCGCCCCGACTGCCCTTCCTGCCGCCCTGACATGCATGTCCCCCGCAGGTGGACGAGGTGGTGGACATATCCGTGCCCCTCGCCCTTCCTTTCAGTCCCCACAGCTGACTGCCCTGCCCGCCCCGACTGCCCTTCCTGCCGCCCTGACATGCATGTCCCCCGCAGGTGGACGAGGTGGTGGACATATCCGTGCCCCTCAGGTTCCGCTACCTTCCAGTCCCCACATCTGACGACCCTCACTGCCTGCCTTGCCTGCCCTGCCCGTCCCACCCCACCTGCCCCTCCCCCCATGTTCGCCCCCCGCAGGTGGACGAGGTGGTGGACATATCCGTGCCCCTCAGGTTCCGCTACCCCCCTTCCCCCTCCGCCGCGCCCAGCACTGGCGCAGGGCGGGGGGGAGGCGGAAGAGGGGGCGGAAGGGGGCGGGGCCGGGGCATGGGGGACGGCAACGCAAGTGGAACATCAGGGATGGGCGGGGGAACGGGGGAGGAGCAGCAATGGGGAGGCGGAGGCGGAGGCGGGGGAGGCGGAGGCGGAGGGGGAGGGGGGGAGGGAGCGGGGCAGGGGCGGCGGAGTGTGAAGGTGCAGCTGACAGACGGCGTGCAGGCGGTGTGTGGCATGGAGTACCGCCACGTGCCCGCACTCTCGCCCTCCATGGCCCCCGGCTGCAAGGTGTGCACTCTCTGCTCTCTGCTCCGTGCGAGGGAGGGAGGGAGGGAGGGAGGGAGGGAGGGAGGGAGGGAGGGAGGGAGGGAGGGAGGGAGGGAGGGAGGGAGGGAGGGAGGGAGGGAGGGAGGGAGGGAGGGAGGGAGGGAGGGAGGGAAGGAGGTGTTTGGTTCCTCACACTCTCTATATTCCTCATTGTCTCCTCATACCGGCTCCTCTTCCTGTCCCATTCTCACACTGGTGCTTGGTTCACTCTCCCTCTCCCTCTTTCGCCCTCTCTCTCCTTCTTTCTTTCCTTCTTGAACTGGCTGGCCCTCTCTTGCTGTATAAAGGCAGGTGATTCTAAGAGACGTGCTTGTAAGGAGAGGCCTGCTGCTCTTGCTGCCTGAGCTCGTGCAAGTCCTGGGAGGACACGTGGCACACTTGGAGGCTGCCAGGTGTCGCATTGCAGACCACTTCTCTCGCCCCTCTCGCCCCCACTCACTCTCACGGTGAGTGTATGTGTGTGCGTTGACACTCTTGTGTCGTGTGCATTTCCCTGGCATTGTTGATTGCTCGCTTGCTGTCTGTCTGCGTGCTTATGTGTGTGCATGGATGCCCCATCAGTGCCTGTGTAAATGTGGTGGGTGGGAGCATGGTCGCACTTCCGCTTTTCTAGTGAAAGCGCTTGGTGAAGAGCTGAAGAGCGGAGATGGCACCACCAGACCCGTTAACTGCTTCTTAAAAGCACATATCTATCAGAAAGACAACCTTTACAATCCTTCTTTCCTTCCAATTCCCTCTCTGCACCATGCGTCCATGTTCGTCAGGGGTCGTCTCTCTTCTCGTTCCACCTTTGAAACCACCACTCTAATGCTAGCACAAGAGGTTGCCTGGCCTCCCGACCCTGCTGCCTCTGCTGCAGCCCCTGATGTTACTACTGATGCTGCTGCTGCTGCTTCTGGTGGTGGTGCTGGTGGTGCTGCTGCTGGTGGTGCTGCTGCTGCTGCTGGTACAGCGTATGCTGGTACCCCTGGTTCGAACCAAAGTCATTTTCACAGTCGCAATCCCACTTCAGCGGCTGCTTCTACCACTTTTGCTGCCGCCACCGCCGCTGCCGCTTCCGCTGCAGCTGTTGCGTCTGCGTCTCCTGGTGGAATCAATGCTTCTGCTGTTGGCTCAAACCAGCCGACCCGCGCACACGTGGCGCCATCGTGGCGTGACACGTCACCTTCCTTGCCACGTCAGCAGAGCTCACATCCGCAGCAGAATCAGCAGCAGGAGACTGGGCAACAGCGGAACGGGTTTCAGGGAAACGGTTACTCGGGAAATGGGCAGGCCGGGAGACATGCAAGGGAAGATGGATGGGGAGAGGGAGGAGAGGACAGGGAAGCGGAGGGAGAAGGGGGACGAGGAGAGGGGATGGAAGATATGGAGGAGGAGGATGAAGAGGTCGGCGGTAGAGTAGGGAGGAGGAGGGTAGGGGTAGGGAGGCAGGCTGGGATGGTGAGAGGGCGGCGAATAGTTCTGGATGATGAGGGGGAGGGGGGTGGAGAGGACGAGAGGCAGGGGGGAGGGCGAGCGAGAAGGGAGGAGAGGGGAGACCAACGGGCAGAGAGGAGAGAAGGAGGGAATGAGGAGGTGCAGATGAAGGAGGAGGAGGAGGAGGCGGTGTGGAGGCGTTGGGGTGATGGTGGAGTGTTGGGGAACCATCCTCCTCGCTCTTCTCCCCGTAGTGCCACTGCTCCCACTTCTGCTCCGTCTGCTACTGCTGCTCGCACTGCTGCTGCGTCTGCTGCTACTACTGCTGCCCCCACTGCTGCTGCTGTTGCTGCTGCTCCCTCTGGTGTTGCCAGTGGGCGTGTGGGTGGTGCAGGGGAGGGGGTGAAACGAATGGAGGTTGTAGACCTAACAGACGATGAAGATGCTGCTGATGCTCCTGTGGAGATGATCCCACCCTCACCAGCAGGACCTGCAGCAGCAGCGCCAGGAGCAGCAGCAGGAGCATTCTCAGCAAGAGCAGCAGCACCGTCAGCAGCAGCAAAGGCTGTCGGCGCAAGAGCGACAGCATCAGCAGCAGCAGATCCAGCAGCAGAGGCAGCTGCAACAGAGGCAGGAGCAGTGGGAGGAGGAGGAGGGGAAGTTTTCGGTTACTTGACGGACGTTGTTGCGGGAGGGGAGGAAGAGGACGGAACAGGAGCAGAAGCAAGAGGAGGAGGGAGTGAGAAGGAGAGTGGCAAGCGGCTTACTGTGAAGGTATGCCAGTGGGTAGCATAGGCCTGGGTAGGGTAGGGCCTACCCCGTTCCGTTCATTCCTCTTCCTTACGGATTCTTGTGGCGGTGTTATAAGGGTGAAGGATGAGAGGGGTTTGTGTTGAGCTGTACTTTAGTGATGATGAGGGTGAAGGTTCTTTGTGCACATTAGTGACTTGACTCTTTCAGGTCTTACTTTGTTCCTCTGTACGCAGAATGTGGTTCAGCAGATTCAAGGCGTCCAATTCAAGAATGCCGAGTGCTAGCTAGCGACTGCAACCGAGGCACCTTCAACATCACCACACACATTACACTGCACCACACTACACGCCTCTCACCCCCCCCCTCCTCCCTCCTGCGCTCCTCCCTTCCCCCTTGGCCCGCAGTGCGTGGTGGTGGGGGTGAAGGAGTTCAGCTACCGCACTCCCGGTGTGGTGCGAGGTGACTTCAAAAATTCACCTCAAAAATTCAGCCAAACCTAAGTCACCTCAAAAATTCACCTCAAAAATTCAGCCGAACCTAAGTCACCTCAAAAATTCACCTCAAAATTCCCCTCCCGTGCCCCTCCCTCTCCCGCCTCCCCCAGTGCGTGGTGGTGGGGGTGAAGGAGTTCAGCTATCGCACGCCCGGTGTGGTGCGCCTGGTGGTGTATGCCGATGATGGCTGCTCGCTCATGCCCGCTGCCGTGCACCCTGCTGTGAGTGGACTGGAATACAAAGATCGGCTGGGTGTTTCCTGACTTGCCGCACACTGCACACTGCATTCTGCACACTATACATTGTAAAGCCGTATCGTGTATACTGTTCAATGTATACTGTGTGCTCTACAGTGTAGATGGCACACCCGAGTTCCTTAACGCAAGTATGCATTCTCTCCTCGGTTCCTCCTGTGCCCTGCCCCTCCCAGTCATCACACGCCTGCCTTGGACCCCCCTCATCCCCTCCCTCATCTCATGTCCTCCTCTTACCATAGCAAAGTCTAGATTGTTGTTGAGAAGCCGTCCCACCCGCGCACCCGGGCTTACTGTTACTCTGTCCACCACCCCCACCAGGAGATAGCGCGGCTGCTGCGCATGGACGAGGTGGCTCTGCTTCTTGAAGCGCTTCATGAATCCCTCCCCCCCCCGCCCCCTCGTCTTCCCCCCATCTCCACCTGGCTCCCCCATATATTATCAAACCACCCGCCCCCACCCCCCCCCCCACCCACACCAGGAGATAGCGCGTCTGTTGCACATGGACGAGGCGGCTCTGCTCGCCATCACCCACGCGCCCTCCCTGCCACCTCCCTTCCGCTCCGCTCTCATGCGCCTGCAAGCCTTCCTTGCTTCCTTCGAGGTCAGTGCTCTGACGTGATTGCTTCGGTGTGACTGCTCTGACGTGATTTCTTCGGTGTGAATGCTCTGACGTGATTCGTGTGAGGGTTCAATCCAATGGGGGGATCTTGTCCTCTTGCGGTGGATCATGATGATGATGATGATGATGATGGTGTTTCCTTGCGGCATGTTCTGATGGGATGATTCTGGGAGCCCCTCGTTGCGTTGTCCCACCCACCCTACTCAACAACACGGTGTGTATGTATTTTGAGTCTACTCATGATCCCTTTGACCCAACTCAGTTACACCACGCACCTGCTTTGACCCGCTCCAAGATACTCTAATCCACCATTGTTGGCTCATCTTTCTCTCCATCTCCTCTCTCTCGCTCCTCTTGTTTCCTCCTCTCTGTTATGCTTGTCTCTTATCCTCTATAATCTATCTCTCTCTCTCTCTCAGGGGCTTATCCAAGTCGGCTATTCTCAGTCGAGCTCCAAATCAGGCACCACCACCGGTGTCAATACCGGTAGGGGGGTAGCGGGGGAAGAGCAAAGCAAGGCAAGGGAGCTGACAATATTCCACATGAGCACAGGCTGCAAAGGAATAGATCTCAGGCTGATCTCAGATAGAGTGGCGTCTGCATGGGAGAGGTTTAAAAGTTAGATGCAAGAGAATGCATGTAGGCTGATTTGTGTTGAGTTATATCTACCGTAGGTATGAGAGTATAATTTCCAGTTCAGGTTGCCCTAATCATTTCAATCGTTCCTTGGTGATGCTCTCTTTTGCCTCCCATTTCATGTTCAGCTCAGCACACACAACGTGCTTGTCTTGTTGGAAAATGTACCATATAAAGATTGGGCTACCGTAAGTTGCTGCGGAAGTGCACTGCCGTGTAACAAGTGTGGGTCGTCAATTTTCCAGCAATCACATCAGTTGATTCCTCAAGGCAGGGCTGGTAGGTCTCCCCGTTACGGGTATTGGGAATGCCCTCAGGACTGCGTGGTTCAGTATGGTTCAGAACAGTTAACTAATGGTTCTCGCTGCTCACCGCTTCGACTGTAACGCAACCAGCTAAACCGCGAGGATTGAATACAGAAGGAATCCGTGGAAAAGGCATTCCCCCCCTCCCCCGCCTGCCCTCTTGTCCTTTCACCTCACTCTTCCTTCCTTTCGCTTGAGAGTACGTTTCACGCCGCGCCGCACCGCACCCTCCGCGTTGCTCGTCGTCTCCTCTTGCCGCCCTGACCGCTGCCGCACCATCTCCGAGCGTGCATTGCACCATCCGCTCAGCTCTCACCCTCACTCTCACTCTCAATCGGAACGGGTCGCCGCGAATCTTCATAGTACCTGCAACTTAGTTCCCTGAGTTGTGCGAGTCTTTCCAACAGCAGCCCTCCACCATCGTCCACACACCAGAATGGCAGCTCCCGATCACCCAGACGACCCGCTCCATTTGACTACTGTAACGGCTAGTACTATTGCTACCACCACTACTACTACTACTGGCGACCCGTTTGAAGACTTCCCGGATGACCTACTCGTCATCATATTCCGCCACGTCATGCAACCCCCCGCGGCTTCACCCGCCTCTCCTGCCGACCAGCAGCGGGACCCGCCCACCACCGCATCGTCACCTTCCGCCGCCTCCTCCGCCGCTTCTCCCGCCGTTTCCCCCGCCGCCGCTTACTCCGCTGCTTGCTCCGCCGCCCTCTCCGCCGCCTTCCCCGCCGCTTCCGCCGTCCCCCGCTCCCCTTTCTGCCCGTTCTCCCTCGCGCTCGTGTCGTCGCGCTGGCTGCGCCTCGCGTATCTGGCCGTGCCGTCCATCCACCTCACGCCTCGCCGCGCGATACCCGCATCGGATCTCGCGCGATCTGTCGCTCGCATGCCGAATCTCACCTCGTTGCACGTCGCCGTGCGACCTGCGGCTTCCCTCACAGACGCGGTTCTAGCGGGCATTGCGAATGCGTGTCCCGCGCTTGCGGATCTGACCCTGTCGCCATACGGATCGTACACGACCCAAGGCCTCGATACGCTGTTTTCGCGTTGTACGCGTTTGAAGGAGCTCTCGCTTCACTGTCCACGAACTGTCACCGCGTTTCCAGGAAGCATCGCGAATATGACTAGGCTGATTTCTCTGAGCATTTCGTCAGGCACCCTCTCGCAATTACCTGATGAAATTGGTGCGCTTCACTCTCTGGAATCCCTTTATTTAGAAACAGATAATCTCGAATCGCTGCCCGAAACTTTGGGCAGCCTCAGCAATCTACGGGACCTGGAGCTGGTTGACTGCACCGCATTATCCTCCCTGCCCAATACAGTTGGGCAGCTGTTGAAACTAACTCATATCTGTGCCATGGGGTGCGAGGAGCTAGTCACCCTGCCTGATTCATTCTGCTGGTGCTCTGCCTTAGACACCCTCGACCTTGCCCTGCCAAACCTTTCCAGGCTGCCCGATAATTTCGGGCAGCTGCGCAGCCTACGCTCGCTAAGCATTTGTTCCTGCCATGCTCTTGACGCCCTGCCCGCATCATTCACCCAGCTATCCTCCCTCCAGCTGTTAGACCTCAGCGAATGTTTTTTTCAGCTGCCCGAAGACTTGGGAAATTTGACCAATCTGAGAAGGCTGATGGTCAGTGATTGCAGTGCGCTCATTAGCCTGCCCGCCTCCCTGCCCCAGCTTTCCCTCCTCGAGTGCCTGCGAATCACAGGCTGCAGCCAGATTCGTTCCCTGCCCGAGAATATTGGGCAGCTTTCAGCAGTTGAAGCGCTGTATTTGTCCAACTTAAGTGATCTGCAGAGGCTGCCCGAGTCCATCGGGGAGCTCCAGAAGCTTCAGTCACTGAGGCTACACGGTTGTGACTCACTTCAATTGCTGCCCGACTCCTTCCCACTGCTTCCCTCTCTGCACACTCTTGAAATCAGCAGCTGCGGCTCTCTCTCCTCTCTGCCCGACAACTTCAGCTCCTTACAGAACCTTCAACAGATGAGTGTCAGCTACTGCCCGAAAATTTTGCAGCTGCCCGCCAGCCTCACGCGCTGCCCGTCCCTTCAACACCTCTTTATCCGCTGCTGCCCGGGGCTCACATGCCTGCCTGAAGCCATCGGTTCCACCCCACGGCTTGTAGAGCTCGATGTGGATACCTGCAGGGGCGTTCGGACGCTGCCGCTCTCCCTTGCTCAGCTGTGCGTGCCGCGGAATGGGTCGGTGGCACGGGTGCGGATTGCCGGGTGCTGCCGGAAAGCGGATGTGGACTTGGTGCTGAGGGACCTGGTGGATGAGGAGGGGGTGGTGGTGGCGAGGAGGGGACAAGAGGAACAGGAGCATGTGGTAGGTAGTGCGGAGGAGGAAGAGGATGAAGAGGACGAGGATTAGGAGGAGGAAGAGGAAGAGGAAGAGGAGGAAGAGGACGAGGATTAAAAGGACAAAGAGGAGGAGGAAGAGGATGGTGAAGAGGATCAGGGAGGTGGTGCACGTGGAGGGGCAGAATGAGGAGCATGGCAGAGGGAGGTCATGTGGACTGGCCGCGCCACCATTGTTCCTCCCAAACAGCCAGCATGGGAAGCGGCATTCAGTCCGGTGCTGCTCAGCCGTGCCCTTCAGCCATGCTGCTGTTCACCCAGGCCAGTACCCTGCCTGGCTACGGTACCAGGCCAACCCGCTGGTGCACGCTGTAACCCCCCAAGCATGCGGTTGGAGGAGCTAGGAGCTTCGGGCAGCCCCTCACGTGATTGCCGTGAGCGCTCAGTACGCTTTCTGGTCAGAGCCTGTCCTAGCTGCCAAGGCAGTCCAGTCGTGACGGAGGTTGATTGAGACCTCTTTTCAACTCATCAGAAGACCTGTGGGGTGCTCACCGGAGTGACCTCTGGTCCTCGCCATAGGAGGGTCAGCAGCAGGGCTCAGGCCGCAATCAGGATGGGTTGTGTTGTGGCATGGAGGAGGGAGGGGGGAGGGAGCGGTGGAGTAAGGGACTGGTAGGGCCGGCTGGATATGTGATCCGCTGTAGTGCTTTGAGCCATGGTGTTCCTTGGTGCCAGCCAACCCTCCTACGTGGCCCCAGTGACCACCTATCTTCCCTTGCGGTCAATGCCTTTGTTCCTGTTGTTCATTAAGAGTTTGTATTTGCTATTAGACGTCTGTTTCCATTATGCTCACACAGAGATGCGATGCGACACCAATTGGACGAGAGAAATGTGTGATTCACTAGGTGAATGTCGAGATACAAATAGCATGGATGAGGCCATTTACTGTACATTCGGGGCCACCTAGGAAGGGCCTATATAGGAGGGGCTACACCTACGAGTAAATGGAACAAGACTCGACGTTTAACGTCGTATGGGTTGCGTAGGTATACATTTTCAATCAAAAAATACTAATATATCATAAACATAACAGAAGTGTAATATGATCACAAATGCATATGTAGGTGATTGCTACTTTGGAATGGGTGAATGATTAAACGTGCATTTAACGTGCCACATAAGGGCTCCTGTTTGGAGGGTAAAAATAAATACCGCAGATGCTGCTTGCATGTGCGATTAATGACGTTTATTTGTAATGGATCCTATAAATTGCACTTGATATATGAAAAATACAATTGGAATTTTATATTGAGTTATATATTACGCTTTTGATTTTCCATTTGCGATTAATATGTTGGATTTCGAGCTATAATATGTTAGATACAACCTTTTAGCAATCATGATATTAGTATGGTCATAGTGGAACAACCTTAAGCTCAAGTATTTAGATGCACTATATTCAGGACCACACTAGTCTGTTCATTTTGCATGAGTTGTCTTATAAATGATGAGTTGTCTTAAAGATGATTCATCCACAAGCAGATTTGTGTCAAATCTGTAAATTTGACGTGGATTTCACGTGAGCCAAATTGTGGCAGAGTAGATTTTGGTAATACAGCCCAAAAGTTACTCAAACCTGCCCAAGCCTCTTATAAAGTTAAAAGTTGCCTCGTTTTTCCCCCAAGTTTCATTTCGAATTTGACACCTAGGGCAACTTTGAAC